AACTTTTCGAACTGCACTGGAGACGGATAAGAATGACGAAAGCTGGCCGTATGCTCTAACCGCACCCGGGCTATGACAACCCAACTCTTTAAGGATCGCCATACTTCTCCGGTACTCCATTTATGAACAAACGGTTCCATATTGCTGCCCTATTAACAGATCGAAGGTCGCGCTTATATCTGGAATACAATGATCGTTGGTCTTTGATAGGCATGACGGTGCTCTAACAGCCGTCGGAGGATGAACATTTGATCGATGCATCCACGACCGGCGCAAAACCCAGCCTGCTCCTCCAACATTGTTTACAATCGTCGGAGAATGACGGACGCCAACCGCTTTGATGCTGTCGTGATCAGGTTTATACCCCTGTGATTGGCGCAATCACTCTGCGGTCCTTTTTTAAAGATAAGGATGATTAATGATCCCCCGCCACGAGGACGGGATCTGCTCAGTGTATCAGACTTTAGATCACAGTGCCACCAATTCTTTAACAAGCTTTATTTTACTATCAAATAGAGCAAGGGGAAAGCCGTCGGTGCCCGGCGCTTTGTGGCGTCCCAAGGCTTGGATTTTCTTGCGGATTTCCTCCTCAGAATGTGCCTCTGTTGTGACAGACCATGTGACGAGTGCCGGAATAGATGTGTGAGAAGCCTACCCTGGTGACCGGCTAAATCGTGTTTTGAAGTGCTTCGCTCAGCGTTCAAGGCTTCACCTTTGTTTATGAATGGGCGAGCCGTCACGTTCGCATATCGTTTCGCTCACGCCCAATGCTTCCATACCGGTGACCCGGATGAGATGGAACAACTTGCAGGAATTACCCATGGCGGGAGCACGCTCCATCTCTGACGCACTTTGAGTTCGCCAAATCTCGCTGTCTCTGCGTAGGCTTGCGTTACGTTCACACCTCGTTACGAGTCGTGTTTCATAATGCTCGTTACCGATCGGAATTGCCCGAGGTGTGTCAAGAATGCGTAGAGACTCCACGGAGATCCAGGGTGTCATGGCGCAACGTGTCAGACCACAACTAACCGAGCCAACAGGATACAGAGCATTCTTGAATTCATAAGAGCGAGAACGTTCGTAGTCGTGTGCGTTGTGGGCTATTGTACTAATCGGTGGCCCGGTCCAGAGTAGGCCTTGTTCGAGGCAGCATTTTAGTCTTTGCGCAATCAAGCGCGGACTGCAAGGCAGAAGTAATATTCCAGATGTTCTGGTGGCAAGTTTTCGGTTTATTCGCCTCTCCTGGAAAACCCTGTCGCACAATGGATCTCGGCAAGGGGTAGTGGCCATATTTAGTGGCGAGTCACACTCTCCACTTCACAGCACTGTCCACAAATATTTGGGGTGTTTTGTGCCAGGAGGTAAATACACCACATCCTCGAGCGCTGCCGCCGATCGTCCGCAGCCGCTTATTTGGGAGGTCTAGAATTACATTGACGGTTGGCCGCGAGATGATGACCGTTCCTCTATCCGCGACCTGGGGACGCGCTCGGTAGCATACAGCTCTGCTCTCCTGAATTACTTATGCAAGGCACCGGTTTTCCGTCAAATAAAATTGTCATCTAAGAACAAATGTGGCGAAATGTTAACATTCCGTTTAATCTTCTCAGTCGCTGACTTAAAACAAACAGGCACATATATAGCACATGGGATTAATCAATTTTGGTGAACAAACATGTACAAGCATACAAAGACTACTAAATTTAGAAGTAGCCGGTCAGCTCCACGGTAAGTGGATTGCTCGTATCAAAAACCTTCGTGCGCACAGGGTCGGGTGATGTAATATTGCAATATTACAATATTCCAGGAGAGAATGTACTCAATAGATGTGGATTCACTTTTTACTAATGTACCACTTTATGAAACACTTGATTTTTTATGCGATTATATTTTTTTATCAAACAATTTTCAACTTAATATTCCTTTTGGATACTTAAGAGAACTTATTCTTATATGTACAGAAAACATTCGTTTCGAGTTTGAAGGGGCCATATACAAACAGATCGATGGCGTGGTAATGGGCAGTCCACTGTGGCCCATTTTGGCAGACGTTTTTCTAGGCATGATTGAGAAAAAGCCAGGTGATAATATTTCTAAGTCCACCCTGTACAAACGTTACGTGGACGATATTTTCATTCTTACAGATTCTAAAAATTTAAAAACACTTACACCAGTTTAACGTAGTCCACCCACATCTATCTGTATCTCATGAAACGAAAACCAACAACACTTTAGCTTTTCTTGACGTAAAAGTTACAAGACGGATAAATGGGACACTACAACGCTCAGTCCACCGAAAAGCGACATGGAGCGGTCAATATATGCACTTTTCCAGCTTTCCCCCCATGGCTTACAAACGTGAACTTGTGATAACGATAACATTTGTTCTCCAGATACACTGAAATAAGAAGAAGATTTCTTAAGGAGAACATTGCTAAACAATGTTTACCCAGAAAGGTTTATAAATATTCACAGTAGACCAATTCCAAAAGGTAACCCGTCCCAAAACGTCGATAAAAAGGCCATCTATATCAAGCTTGCGTTCAAAGGTGATCACATTTACCATGATGTGCGCCAGAATTTGAGGTCAGCTCTAGACCGTACACTCCCAGCTGCTCAACTCAGACTCATCGCCTCCACTCGTGGAATCGATTTGGACAAACGTAAACATGGCTGGCAAACCAGTTCCGTCTCACACTTTGTATACCAGTTCACCTGCAGTTGCGGTGACGCCTACATAGGCAGAACACACCGTCAGCTGTCACAACGGATGGCCGAACGTATTCCAAAGTGGTTGGTGAAATCGATGACGTAACCGACAAATGATGGCCAAGTGATTGCAAGAAATCCAGGATCATCTGTTGCAAAACATCTCATGACAACAAGACACACAGTTGACCCCAATTCGTCTTTCAAACCACTATTACGTAATCGAAATGCTAAACTTTTGGCGATTAGTGAAGCACTGCTTATTCGATTACAGCACCCGACCCTGTGCGCACAAAGGTTTTTGATACAAGCAATCCACTTACCGTGGAGCTGACCGGCTACTAAATTTAGTAGTCATTGTATGCTTGTACACGTTTGTTCACCAAAATTGATTAATCCCATGTGCTATATATGTGCCTGTTTGTTTTAAGTCAGCGACTGAGAAGATTAAACGAAATGTTAGCATCTCACGACATTTGTCTTCTTTCTGTTTTGATGAAATGGATAAAGGGTACTCAATGCTTCAAATCCTCTAAGACTCCCGAAAACGCTACCCATTTTTGATGTTGTACAATACATAGCAATTGTCATGCGACCAACGTGAACAACAATATTCAGTTCTGTTCAATTTTTACAACCAATAAATTCCTGTCTCTTGGTTGCCTATTTCCAATGAAAGAGTAATCGAAAATGTCAGGGTAAAAATGGAGATTTTATGAAAACTTACAATGCGTCAATAACAAAATTCGAAACTCAAAGCTTGGTGCATTGTGGTGTAAATGCACGCTTCACAAATTGTTTCCCGTAATTTTTTTTAGATCAGCAATCCAATTTTATGGAATCTTCAAAACAAACGAAGAATACATTAAACAGCACAGCTGCTAGAACCAGCCTAGTAGGAATCAAACACGATTATTCAAGGCCAGATAGAGGTCGGGCTGCGATCAGACTTGCACAGAAATGTAGTAGTAAAACAAAATCAATGATGTTCATTCCATGCGCTAAGCTGATAACTACCTCAATGAGTTATTGATCGATTTTGGATGTTTACTTGAACCTCTTTTCCCCAAAATTTCTGTTTTGCTTGGGCATTTAAACGCACTTCTTTCCTGCAGAACAAATCGCGGTTAGCTTTCGTAATCTGGATCATCCGTGGCCTGAAGTGACATGCCGAACGTCGACAGCATACCTCAATTGTTCGGTCAGTTTTATGGCTGAGAGATAGGGTCATTTCTCATCAAGTATGCAATGAAATTGTCTGCGTTCGAGTTAAATAAAGTGTACCGAGACGAGTAGTGTGGAAATCAATCACCTAACGAGTTTGTATAAATACTGCTAGTTCGGATAGAAACTCCTCCGTTAAACATTCCATTCAGGGTCTACTGAAATACGTGACAGCACTGATTGCGCAATTGAGACCGTTAGCAGCATAGGCGAGGTAACATCAATGAATTTATTGAGTTGAGTCCTGCATAGAGCATCGTGTTTGAAATCGTATTCCAACTCGAATATCCATGAAAATAGTACAGTTGAAAATCGCTAAACTGCAAAATGTTGGTTTAAACCAATCTTTACGAAAGGGATTTCGATCTAATTTCGGAACGTAATAGAAACTTAACTCCATCGGTAAGGATCAGTCAACTTCGAAAACTGGAAAAGTATGTATCCCTAATAGTCTAATAACATTCAACAGGTTATAAAGTGAATCCGTTGCGATCTCTGTCGAACTGAAAATGTCGCCATTTCTCTGCTCACCATTTCTGTCAACGTATTCAGTCAATCTGTTCAACACTCCAGTTTAACATTCACTGAATTTCAGATTTCCCCCCCAACACTGCCTCTTTCCATTATCTCTACATCAGCTCAGTTTGTACAACCATGCATTTTCTTCGGGTTGTTTTGGTTGTGAAAGGTGTAGAAAGAAAATTATAAATTTAAAAGTCGTATCAAATTGAAAGTGGAGGATTCCGATAGACTAAAATTTTGAAGTAAAATTGATTAGATGCACAAGCGCCCCCTTTTACAGAACTCAACCACAGTACCCAGTGTCTAAACATGAATCACAACGGTCCCGAGAGTTCTATGCATGAATGGATGTGTCAGATGGAAATAAGGATACATATTCTATGCATGTCTTTCTGGTGAATCCATATTCTTTTCTGTATGTCAGTCAATAACCGACCTAATCACAGATCAGTTATACTTCAATAGCAATCTTGAAACCTCCCAGCTATCTTTTTTATCGGTCTGGTCACTTATCTAACCCATGAGCCATTTTGTATTTTCACTAGGACACGGTGCTGTTTAATGATACCATCCAATACAACATTCGTTATGGTCGTCGAGATGCCACAGACGATGAAGTGCGTCAAGCAGCTATGCAAGCAGACATTCACGATCGGATTCGCGAATTTACTCAAACCTATGATACAGTGGTTGGTGAACGCGGTCTAAAGTTGAGTGGTGGGGAAAAGCAACGTGTTGCCATAGCAAGAAACTTTCTGAAAAATCCGCAAATTTTAATGCTGGACGAGGTGAGTCCGTGAGATGATGTTATTTCGTTCTGTTTTTCATGAATGCTACGTCATAAAACCGAAAAAGTGAGAAGTAACTACAGTCGCAAACATTTTCCATCAGGAATGTAGTGGGTCGATACACGATTCGAACTCACGGTTTCCTTTGTCAATTCAACAGTGATAGTAGCTTAGACCAACAGGTGGTTAAACTTTCATCTGACATGACACCATGAAAACTCCGATCCGAGAACTCGGACATATGGGACACATTAGGCTTCCCGGTTGTGGACCTATGGGTCAGTCGAATCGATTGTTAGCGACACTGAATATCGTAAATAGTCGCATTTGTACATCTCAACTTCTTTGCAAATACCGATTGAATTTTGTATCTGCATCCCGGTACTACTCCGGGTTTTCCTCTTCCTTGTACTCCTGCATCCAAATTCACAGACAAAAGATACTAACCGAAATTGCACGCTTTATGGTTACATGAAACAAAATTCAGTCAAGTGGTATCATTCATGTGTTCCGCTTGGTCACAGGCCGAACTATTGCGGATCATAATACGCGATTATCCACTGTATGTTATTCAGTTAATTTGCAGTCATTCAGACTCCTGTTGCTCTTGCTCGCATCCTGAGATATTTGTTTTTGTTAAGCCTAAATAGCCATTGTTAAAAAGATAAGTATAGTGGTCTCTCACAAGTTGTCTTCCAACAGTCGGATAAACCGAACGAAACTTGATAGCTAATTTTATGTCGCTGCGGATATTGGATGCCAGATGTTTGAAGAAGTCGAAGTTTCTACTTTTGATCGCAACGCTATATCGTAAACATTGGCCCTGTGTGTATAGTCGGTGTTTCAGGCGTATTCACATCAGATTTCATGCTTTTGGAATGTTTTGACAGGCAAGTAAAGACCCGGCATAATCCCTAATACCTTAAGAGGTTTATAGAAATAATTTAACAGACCTCGGTAGTATCAGTTTCATACCAAGTCAAAAACCCGCTATTTTTTAACACTGAACTGGGATATTGCAGGAGTCTGCAATACCTCGATTATCTGAGCTCACGGATTTGAACATAATTGATTGAGTCAGCCAAATGTGATGAAATGCGACAAACGATCAAGACCAAATGGTTTAAATGCGTTCAATTGTGCAATATACTGTATGCCACTTAAAATCCTAGTGATTTATTTACAGCTGTTTCATTCTCGTTAGAAACCCACAGCAGTGCATATCCACCGGACGTAGACGACTAGAACCCAGACGAGTAGGTTTATGAAAACCATACGTTATCACTAGGCTATTTGGACTAGCTTCAGCACTTGGTTCAGATCCACATTACACAGTGATCTACACAATGCATGTCGTTCTCTACTACAACATCTGAGACAGAACAATTGAGAGTTGTACAGTACAACATCAGTTATTTGTGAATCACTAGCGGGTCTTCCTGGATAGCTGCCAACCAAGACATCGTTCACACCTGGGGTTGTAGTCTTTTGCAAACCAAACCTTGATGCCGTTTGTTTGTAACCTATCCCATAAACGATGTCATTTGTAGGGTACTTTTCATGAGAGCACGAAGAAGCATCATGATAACAGTATGTGAGAATACAAAACTGCGGCGATGCATAAAGAGCACACTTCTGCGGCCGTTACATGGATGACACATTTGTCATACAGCACACAAGCACAAGCAATGCTTAGAAAACTCAACCGTTCACATCGGAATATTAAATTCACGGTGGAGCACGATTCCGAATCTTCCTTCCAGTTCCTGAATGTCAAATTGACGAGTTATTAGGACGGATCTGTCATCTGATCCGTATTTCACAAGCCGATTTGGACGGGACAGTATCTTGATTTTAGA